CTAGGGGACATAGGGGGTGGGTGGGGGAGGGGTTTGTTCTGTGACTTCTGTTTAAGGGACATAGGGGGTGGGTGGGGGAGGTTTTTTTTCTGTGACTTCTGTTTAGGGGACATGGAAGAAACCAAAATAGATCTGCTGCCCCTATTACAACATTCAGGATCTATATCTTTCCTCTCTGGCTTCTCTACTGTTTCTCTACTGCAGTGTCTCCTTAAACCTCAAATAAAACCTCTATACAGAGAAATTCTAGCATTGAAATTACCAAACTTAAACATGAAACCTGTTCCATAAGAACTCATCAGTGTGACATACCAGCTCCAGGTTCATTTCGATGAGCTGGCCCTTACTGATGTCGGTCTCCTGCACTTTCTGAAGGCTGTCAATTCTCTTCTCGTGATCCTTTTTTATATTATCAAGCTTTTTCAATGCTGATTTTTCCTGAAACATAACAACTTGATACTGAAGGGATCTGTTATAGATGTACACTTGAGTCAAATAAAATAATACCATCAACAAGCAAAATTTGTCTAGTGCACTACCTCTCACAAGGAGAAAGGCAGATGTTCTATAGGCAGCATACATTAAGTTGTGATTTGATAGGAATTAATTTCAGTGCACCAGCTGTACTTGTGTCTACATTCTGTAACTACAGTCGAACCTCGTTATCTCGAACTCTTTTAACTCGAAGACCCCGTTTATCTCGAAGAATTTCTCCGGTCCCGGCCAAATCTGTTCTTTATCTTAGTAAATAAAATTCTGATAATTCGAACCCTGAAAAGTCGAAAAACTTGGATACCTCGAAGTAAAATTTTGCTTTCAATAGCGTTTATCCAACATAGTATTCAAATTTCATTGTGTCACTTGTTAATTCTTTGATACAAATAAAACGCAAAAGTACGACATTCGCCATTCCGTGTTTTTGAGTAAGTAGACTAGCATGAATTTAGGAAAAAAAGAATTTATGATAAAGCTTAGGACTGTAAAGTTTACGGACTGTCAAAACCATGTTATTCATAATAAAAAACAAACTGCATCAATGTTGATCAACAGTAATCTGTACGTACTGCGAGTCCGTCTAATGATTTGTACACCTAAACAGACGACAGTGCAAACCGGAAAATTGGTCACAAAGCGTGGTCATGCATAAAAGAGTTCCACAGTTAAAATCACAACCTAGGACGGCTTTACGGGTTTGTGTTTTTACAGGAGCCAGTATGGCTTTGAAAGTCGATCGAGAGATTTAAGAACAAAACGACAATTGCTGTTGATTACATCGAGTTGAGGAGGTATCAGGTGTCATATTTGGCTTTAATGAATCAATGTGTCACATGTACGATATAATTTGTTTGTGTGTTGTCATTTACAGAATCAACTATGCGTACGCTCCATTACAGTGATTTGTTTAGACTTGCGCACTTTCGTTTCCGCATTAATATTGTAAACTACGAGATCAGAGACAGCGGGATAGTTTGGTTTGAAATGTAACACTTCAGAAGTAAAACTTGACGGACTTACAACTACAAATGCAGATCTATACTAGCCAAAAACAACATTTAATCACTAGGCCCGTCCATATTTAATAACGAATTCACAAAACGGTTCAACCGTTTTGATCGCGTTTAAAACGAAAGTACTTTTTTCTGAAATAATTAACTTACTCTATTTTTGTAAGCGTGTTTATTGTAAAATTACATAGCTGTATTTGTTATATTGATTACGTATATCACTTATCGATTGATTAAAAGCATTAACTATTAATAAAACCAACAACTGATAGTGCTATGTCCCAACAGCAAATTGAATTCCAAATCTATGAACCTGCATAACTCGAATACTCGGATAACTCGAAGTTTTCTCGAGGTTCGACTGTATCTATATTTACACTTGTATTTGTATCTGCCCATCATATATTTCCTATTCTATTGAATAACACAGTAATTGATCAGTTAAGATAAAACTCAGCTCCATCATCATCTGTTAATTATCTTACTCTGCCACCCAGTCCCCACAAGACAGATTTACCAGGTATGTCATCGTTAAACATACTCTACCTGTTGCAAACTTTTCATATCCAGCTTCTGACTTTCCAACTGTGAGAAAAATTCATCCACAGCCTGCAATGAAATAAAATTATGATACATTGTAACAACAAAATCATATTTCAATGTCATGTAATAACATTTGAAATAAATTCAATCAACAATAAAAGAAACCTTCAATAGGAAATGAATATGATGTTCCTTTATGCAGACATTACAATTGTTTATGTGACTTACATATAGTCCATGTACCTCCTATTGTTAAGGCAAAACTTACTCCTACCCAGTAATATAAAAGTTTTACCTTGTTAAATGTAACCAATTCACACATTGTTTTATGTTCGAACTGCTTGAACACCATCGGATGGAACTCTTCATATCTGTAACAGGAAACAAAAGTCTGTTTATGATGGATATAAATAGGGTGGCTTGGGGAGGGGGGATTGATAGGGTGACTGGGGGAGGT